GATTAGCCTTCAGCCACTTATGATTTCACTAGGGGCTCATTAAATAAGCGTTTTTTTTTTCTTGTCCTATTAATCCAGTCTGGCCTGCAGCTTTTAATTATAGTTAAATTTAAGGACAAAGTTCTTATGATCTTGAGGTGTTGTTTATGCCATGATACTTCCACTTATTCACTATGTGAGGTAGGGAGAGGTGGCTGGCAGTGGGAGTGGAGGAGGGAACCACACATTTATTAAGCATTAGGCTATTCCACTTAGGCCTCTTCAATTCTGGGAGATAATGACTTAGATTTTAGAAAAAGGTTTTTAGATGCAGGTTTTACTATGACAAGTAAGGGTACCAGGGAGCAAGTGCAAAAGACAGACAACTACGCCAATTACATCAACAAATAATATAATAAAAGTTCAGGTGGCTGAAGAGAAAGCCAGAGACAGCAGTAAGAGCTGGAGGGGCAAGGAGAGGTTACTTTAGCTAGGAGGAGCAAGATCAGGTTTGCAGACCCCTTTCTGGAGGGAACAAACAGCCACTTCAAAGCCCTTTGGCTGACCTTTCCCCTTAACCAAGAAAGGGCCCTGGAAACCAGTCTTTCTAGAAGACATGCTATCTATGGCCAGGGACATTCCCTAAAACTGAAGCATGCAAGGGAAGAAAATCACCAGCAGGAAGGTGGGGAAGGCCTAGTGACTAGCACAACTCCTCAGACCCAAGCCTACCCCTGACAGAGAATCTGCTGGTAGGAGTTTGTGGGCAGTGGTAAAAGAACTACATTTTTTCAGGAATATGCTCATATGTTCAAGTGGTCATTTCTTTTTTCTTTTTGAGACAGGGTCTCCCTGTAGCCCCAGCTGGCCTGGAACTCACTGTGTAGACCAGGCTGGCCTTGAACTCACGGAGATCCACCTCCCTCTGCCTCCCAAGTGCTGGGATTAAAGGCATGTACCACCACACCCGTCTTTTTTTCTGGGTGGGGGGATGTCTTTTTGAGACAGAGTCTCCCTGTAGCCCCAGCTGGCCTGGAACTCACTATGTAGACCAGGTTGGCCTTGAACTCACAGAGATTCACTTGCCTCTGCCTCCCGAGTGGTGTGCGCCACCACGTCTGGCTCTCAAATGGTCAGTTCTAATTGTAATATGTTACATGATAATTTCTTAAACTTTACCTCTCAACCCTCAATAAACTCAACTCCAACATGTTGGAGCTGTTAAATACTATGCTGTGAACAATTAAGACAAATGAGAAAAAAAAAGTCAGGGTCTCAGTATATATAGCCTTGGCTGACAGGGAACTCACTATTTAAACCAGGCTGACCTGGAACTCAGAGATCTGCTTGTCTTTGCCTCCTGAGTGCTGAGATTAAAGGTATGCACCACTATACCTGGCATTCCCAGTTACATAAAACTGTGGTTAAGTGAGAAATAAATGGCAACTGTATTCTATTCATGTAGATTTTACTCTCTTGATATTAAGTCAGTTACCAGTTTTTCTTCTTCTATCACTCCTTTGGGTGGTTTGTGTTTAGGCTGCCAAACATGTTCCCACAAACTCACCAGCATACTTTCAGGCCAGGCCTCCTTCAAGGGTAACCCTTCACCAAATACTCCCTCCTCCCCCTACACCCTGCTGCCCTAAAACAAGCTGTTTCCATAGACTTATTTAAGCACCATTCATAAGTTTCTAAATCAGTGTTAGAGCTGAGAAAGATCTCAGATGACAATTCATTCAGTTTTCCCCTGCTTAAACATACATAGGTCCTGAGGAGAAAGAGCCTCTGCCAGACTGTATTATGAATTGATGACAAAGTGAAACCAAGGACTAACCCTCACACAAGAGGAGCAGAGGAATTAGGCCTGAACAGGTGCCAGACACTGGGCATGAATACACTCTTGCAAAGAACAGTGGCCTCATTTATCAGAAGTATTGAATTTAGAAGTTAGGTGATGTGCCTAGTGCCTAGTAACCACATGTGGGGCAGAGGCAAAAATGAAACAGGACTTGCTCAGCACCAGAGTGCTCCCTTCCATTGTACCTCAGTGTCAAAACTCTCAAGATTTCAGACTTCATGATCACTATCAATTCCTCCCACCTAACATCACCACAAGTCTAGTATTAAATTCACATTACATGAAAACTAAGACATCTATTCAGCACACACGGTGTCGGTTGGAGAAGCATATTGCTCAGGCTGCAGGGACATTTCATTTATTTAAATGTTTTTATTTAAAAAAAATTAAAGACCTTCATGGCACAACTTCTTCCCAGCACAGTTATGTCTTAGTCATACCAATTACAATACAATTACAATCAATAATTCAAGGAGGGGATTTTTGACTTTAAACTTAAAGGGGGGAGGGCACACTTCAAACAAAGTTAAAAAATACTCCAGAGGAACTGCCAACACAGCTGTTTTACACTGGCCTCCATTTCCTGCCATCTAAGCAATGTAGACATAGACGTGCTGAGAACTAGTGTCCAATACAAGGTGCACAGACGAGGTCATTTACAGCACAGAAGCCGTTACTCTGTAAACCCTGGCCCTCCCTACCCCCACCCAATCAGGCCTTTTTAAACTCTCCACCTTTCTGCAGTGACTCCTTGATTTTTTTTTTAACTTCTATCTATTTTAAAAGGCTCTTAGGTGGTGTTTCAGTGGCCTCTGCAGTCACCCTCAGCTCTTGCACCAGCTCTGATGAGTGGGAGGAGGCCTATCTGTGTGTAGCTCTCCATACCAGCCTCAGCCACACCTAGATTTCCAAGCTATGAGCAGGTGTGGAGTCCTGATCTACAATCTTCCTCTCCACCTTAAAAAAAAGAATTCACCTGTCCTAAGTATCTTGTTTAAATCACGATCCAGTACAATCACAAACCATAGCTCTGGCACACCTGGTGTGTTTAGCGCTGCACAGATTCAACTTGGTAACCCTCACAGCATTCTAGGGCATAAGGATCAAGTACAATATATAGAAACTGTAAGTGGTCAAAAGGAAGAAAATCACTCTGCAGAGTAAGAATATTTTCCCTTCAGCTCTGTGGTCGAGAAACATTAGGAAAGGTGTTAGCATCCTCCACTTAATCAAGACATTCCCTAAAGCCACCACCTCGGTGAAGTTACTAAAGCCAAAATGGGTTACAAAGTTAGGTAAATTCATTAAATTCAACTCCCCAAACAATTATGTTTATCTATGATGCCCAGGTGAGAAAGGCTGCGAATCTATAAAGGTAGGAGGACGGGGAACTAAGATTTTAGGCCTTAAAATACATTGGAAGATTTTTTTCTTAGTCCCCAAAAGCAGCTACTGTAATGAAATAACAGGAGAAAATACAGAGCTGATAGTTTTGCTATTGTGCTTAAAAAACTAGGCTTCCTCAGTGAAGCACCTGATAAACTTAGGTGGTTGATTACAGTGGAAAGTCCACTTTATACACACACAAACACACAAAAACTAGCGACTTTTCCTATCCCCAGTCCCTGCACTGCTGAGACACAAAATGAGTTTTATGGCAAAGGATCCTTAATCCCCCAGAGACGCTTTGGCTTGTGATGCTTTTTTTAAGGCCTCTCTGCCCTGCCCAGTACCATGGTCCTATGAGGGGTGTATAAAAACAAGGGCCTTGGGAAACCATCATGGTATGGGCTGTAGGCCCCTCAGGTTTGAATGTGAGACACCCACCCAGCGAGACCTTTACACAGGGAACTTAAATCTAACCTTGATAAATAAAACCAAATGTTTATTTACACCAAAGAATTCCAACACTGGATCTTTCACATATGAAGAACAAAGTATTATATATACACACAGCAAGGGATGGCAGGGCCGTAACAAGAGAACTGATAGTTTCCCACAATTAGAGGTCTACCATTTCTGGTTCACTGGAGATAGTGGCTCTGCTCCTGCCTCTCAGATAGAGGTTCAACTCTGAGAAGCAGCTCATATCACTAGATGGCATATGAGGAAAGGGGAAGGCAGGAGAAGGTACAAAGCTTAAAATGATCCCAGTGTGGCCACATCACCGTTAGCTCTTAAGAGTTACTAGCATGAAACTTATATAGACAATGTTTCTTTTTTAAAAAGCAATAAATTATGCTCAGTAACTGACTTCAAAATGGCCAATTCAAAAAAAAAGCTAAAAAAGATTTTGCCTTCCCTCTCCTACAAGCTGTGGAGAACAGCATGTCAGGAGATGAAAGGGGAAAAACAGGGTGGGAAGGAGCCTGGGAGAGAAGGTATCACAATCCTAAACTAAAATTAAAATGATTTCGGGTTAGGTCAGTAGACATGATTCATTAGGAACAGAAGCTGTCAGGATCTGTCTGCAGGTTGGGCAGAATTTCAACATCTGGATGTAACAAAGATGCACGTCCACTAGAGTCAGGCCAACCCCAGTGAATCAATTCTGGAGTGAGGTGAAGTAAGTGACTGGCAGAAGAGTGGTCAGGGTTGACTGGGCCTCCCTTCCTCCTTCCTTCCCTCCCCTGAGAAGCTACACCTGTATCATCTCTGCAGAGGAGCATGAGATCAACCCCACTGTAGTGGTGTGGGAGAGCCTTAGAAATTTTGACTCTCCTTCACCTTCCAGTCATCAACTGTCAATAGCTCCACAGCTAGGGGTTGGGGTTTCCATCCACGCTGAAGTGTTGATTTGTTTAACCAAGTTCAGGTCAAATACAAGACAAAGCCCTAGTCATTACACAAACTCACGGTGATTAAACAACACACTCCTAAATAATGAGTGGGTGAAAGGAGAAATAAGAAAGAAATAAAAGAATTCCTGGAATTCAATGAGAAGGACAATACAACACAACAAAATCTCTGGGACACTTTGAAAGCAGTCCTTAAAGGGAAGTGCCTACATTAAAAAATCAGAAAGAACACAAATAAATTACTTAACATTGCAACTCAAGACACTTGAAAGGCAATACAAATGAAACCCAAACCCAAAGAAAACAATACAAAGAATCAACAAATCCAAGAGCTGGTTCTTTGAAAAGATAGACAGACCCTAAAAAAGAAAAAAAAAAAAAAAAAAAAAAAAGAAGAAAGCCTATTATAATTTTTTATGACTCAACTACTATAAATCCACAAGCAACGGTTCAGACACGGTGCTTCTGAAGTGTTTCACCCCTCCCCACCAGGCGCAAGCTGCAGCAAGGAGAGGGTGGATTTCCCCACCTCTGCTCAGGCATCAGGAGACAGATGGGGTTATTACTGCTGAGCGCCAGCAGTCGCTGGAACAGGCATCCCAAGGGGGTTGGCAGCAGCAATCACTGGTGAGCCTGCCAGAGGTCCAAGGGGTGAGGGGGTTGGCACTGAAGAAATCCCTGAAAGAAAACAGCTCACAGTGAGCTAAAGACAACTATGGCAACCACAGTCACCAATTTTTCATTAAACTTATCCCAAAAGTAACACAATGAAAATTCTTTATTAAAGACTTCTCTTGGCCACACTTAACTGGAGTTAAGGATGGTTGTTAGCCACCATGTGCGTGCTGGGAATTGAACCTGGGTCCTCTGCAAGAGCAGTCAGTGCTTCTAACTGCTGAGCCATCTCTCTAGCTCCTAGGTCAAACTTTTATACATACTTCAAAGTCTGATGCATACAAATCCAAGTTAGAATGACAAATCCTAATCAAGGAATTTAGCAAACAAGTAGAGATTTAAGCTTGGAGTATGTCCAAGGTCCACAGCCAGTGATGGGCAATTATGTGCATATGCTATTAGCAGCCCATCTAGGGCAGTGCAATCCAACAGAAGCTCTGTTCTGCACTTCACTTTCTAACATGGTGACCTCTGGCAGAAATGTGGCCACTAAGCACTTGAAATGTGGCTACTACAACTGGGGAACTCAACCTTTAGCTTTTATTCAATTTTCATTAAATAGCTCTAAGTAGTCTCATACAGAACAGAACAGGACTTAGGTCAACTGGGGAAAGGAAGATTTTCGGGTTTTGTTTCCTTTTGGTACAGGTTGAAACGGGATTTCCCTGTACCCCTGCTGGCCTGGAATTCGCTATACAGATCAAGCTGGCCTCTATCTCAGATATCTGCTTACCTCTACCTCCAGAGTGCTGGTATTAAAGGTGTGTGCCACCACATGCAGTTAACATTTTTGTTTTTAAGCTAAGATTGTGTTTTGGAATTTATTTCCATTTGGTTTCTTCTGGCTCTCTATTGCAATTACTTGTTAGCTTGCCCTCAATTAACCAGTTCTTTAATTCTTATGTATGTGGGTGCGCACATGGGTATATATATACACTACCCCTCCCCAAATACAACAGTCCTTCCCCCCATCTGTGGAGGATGTGTTCCAAGAACCCCAAGGTGCCTGAAACCATGGCTATTACCCAAATCTCTACTACAATTACCCCCCCAAGACAGAATTAGTTTATAAATTAGGCATAGTAATAAAATAATTAAAATAGAATCTAATAGAAGTTATGTGAGTGTGTTTTCTCTCAATAGTATCCAGATAAATATTTTTGGGATCATGAGTAACTAAAACCATGGGTATCAGACACCCTCTTCTGCCCCCATGGGTACTGCACAACAGGGGCATACTTATATACATGTAGACAAAACACTCAAACATGAAACAAACTAACTAACAACAAAACCCAATATCAAAGATAACAACAACAAAAAAAACCAACCCCCAAAACTTTATTCTTTTTTTTGTCTTTTTGAGATAGGGTCTCCCTGTAGACCCTGTTGTCCTTGAACTCACTATGTAGACCAGGCTGGCCTTGAACTCACAGAGATCTGCCTGCCTCTGCCTACCGAGTGCTGGGATTAAAGGCGTGCACCACCACACCTGGCATAAAACTTTATTCTTTAAAGCTTGTTGAGAATTCAATTCTCCCTTTAAGAAATTTTCAGTAGGGATACAGGAATTCTGACCAGGAGACACTGTTAATATCCTAGTCAAGACAGTGTCACTGAAGTATATCAGGTTTCAAAAACAATTCAAAACCTGATGGGAAAAACCACACACTAGTCAGTATATTATTAAAACATTCTATGGGGTTAGGGAAGTAGCTCCATCATCAAAGTGTGTTAAATTCCCAGCATCCATTTAAAAAGTTGTGTGTGGGGTAGGGGTGTGAGTTTATAATCCCAGGGCTAGGAAGGGGGAGAAAAACAGATCCCTGGGGCTCACTGGCCAGACAGCCTCACCACATTGGTAAGCCCTAGGTCCCTCTGTCCCCCTACCCCCAAATGCTCAAACAAATGTTCACATACCTATCCACATTCACTAATCTACAGAAAAGATACACAAGAAACCAGGCAAAAAGAGGGAACCAAAATCAAGAATAGTAACTGACTATGACATTTCAAAAAGAAAGAACTCGCCAGTGAACTGACCTGACATCATATTGGCGCTGCTGACAGGTGTACTGCCCCCTGCCATGCTAGATGAACCCATTCGAGCCTGGTCCTTCACGACAGTGTCTAAAACAGACAGTAAGTTTAGCTTCTGCTTTTTATTAAATATTTTATTATTTTGTATGTATGAGTGCATTGCCTGCACGTATATGAGTACACCCATGTCGTGCAATGCCGCGGAGGTCAGAAGAGGGCGTCAGATTCCCCTAGAACTGTAGTTAAGGATGGTTCATAGCCGCCATGTAGGTGCTGGGAATCGAACCCGGATCCTCTGCAAGGGCAGTCAGTGCTCTTAACCACTGAGCCATCTCTCCAGCTCCTTAGCTTCTGTTTTACTCGATGTATTCAATCCTTTTTTTTTTTTTTATTCCATGTTCTTTCTAGAATTTAAAGTAGCAACTGCCTTTACCATGAATTAGACAAATAGTATAAACAGAAATACCTGTCTTGTCCAACTGTGCTTAAAAAATAAATCTGGGGTTGGAGAGACAGCTCAGTAGTTAAGAGCACTGACTGCTCTTGCAGAGGACCTGGGTTCGATTCCCAGCACCCACATGATGGCTAACAACCATCTGTAACTCCAATTCCAGGGGAATCCAACACTCTCTTTTGACCTCCATGGGCACTGAATGACATGGGTGCACTTACCTGCATGTAGGCAATATACTCATACATAAAAAATGCAAATAAATAAAAAAAGTCTGAAAGCAGTAAGAGGATGAGTAATTATCCACTGTAGAGCTAATTCAAAATGAATATGCTAGATGAGGGAGATTAATGGAGACAATACAATCTAACCTGACCAGGATGGCAATTTATTAACAGTAAATTGATTTTAGTGGTTTAGAGATCAGTTGGTCCAGAGCAGGGTACTAACTGGTACCCTGCTGTAGGGCAATGCTACAACCACAGACTTTACCTTTCATTCCAATCAGCAATTAGCCAGTCTGTTCCAGTTATAGGCGACTGGGCAAGAAGATAACTGACTTACTCAAAATCTATCCCACCATTCTTCAGGGAATAATACAATGGTGAAGTGAACACTGTTATGAAGCTCAAGTGGTCTGGAGCAGCATTTCACCAGATGGCACAGTCAGCTATATCCATAAACCTTAATCAAGGTGTTCATGAAAGAGAAATATTCGTAAGCCTCACTGGCTCTCTGCAACAAATGATTACTAGAGATAGGACAGAAGAAGACCTGTTTAATCTAACCATGTTATACCAGCCACTGGGAATTCATCTTCTTTTCTTGGTTTGTTTTGGAGCTAGAGTCTTACTTTGTAGCCTAGGCTGGCTTGGAACTTGTGGTAAATCTCCTACCTTAGCCTTTCAAGTGTTGGGATTACAGGCATGAACCACTCTGCCTGGCAAAGACTGAAATTTTCAGCTAAGCATTATTGTATACTTTTTATGTGGGGTGGGAGAGGGGCAGTACTGTGGACTGAACTATGGGCCTCATGCATGCTAATAAGCAAGTGTTCTGCCACTGAGCCTCAGCCAATAATTCCCAATAATTCTGTATAACAACTGATATGAGTACCCCATTTGAAGAAAATGAGGCTCAGTATGGGTAAAACAACTTCTTGGTGAACTAACAAGAACTAGATTCTAGCTCTGATCTACAGGTCCAGAAACTTGTTTACAACATAAAGTTCCCCCCTGCCTCATACAGTGTGCTGGTCAGTGATGGGGTCACAGAACTAACTGTACTCACAGAAGTAAGGGTGCTCCATGGCCTCTCTTGCAGTGAGTCGAGACTGGTGGTCATATCGCAGTAGCTTGTCCAGAAAATCCAAGGCCTCAGGGCTGACAAGGTGCTGGTTTTCACTGTGGACAAAGCGTTCCCATCGCTTACGAGAGTGTCTATAAGACAAAGGGGAAAGTGATCAATGGGCCACAGGGCAGAGAAGACCAACAAACAGCTAAGAGGGGGTAAAATTCAAAGAACAGTCTTGTACCATTTTATTGCAGGGGAATAACACACACAAGACAAAAAAGTCAATTGGCAACTGGAAGTGGCAGTGCTGTAGCAAGGAGTACTGGGTCCTACCCAGTTTTAAGAACCAAACTTCAGGTTACTTTCTAGGATAGGAATGTTCCTCCTGCAAGTTAGGGAGCTGAGCTAACAAGGTCTCTTTCCCCTCTCCATCTTGGCATTTCTTAAACCTGGCCAACAAATGCCTTTGCATCAGGAAGTCTAGTCCCGTGAAGTGGCAAGTGTATTACTATTCTGCCTCACCACCAGTGCCAGAATCAGCTGTCAGAAATGAGTCTCTTTCCTTCTCTTGGAGAAGGTCTTGCCATTAAAAAGGAAGCAAGTTAAATAAATAAATAAATAAATAAATAAATAAATATGTACTTTAGACAGTGTCTCATCGTAGCCCCAGCTGGGCTGAAACTCACTATTTAGATCAAGTTGGCCTCTGCTCCTGAGTACTGGGAGTAAAGGTGTACATTCACTATGACTGGCTAGATTTTTATGTTTGACCAAATTTTCACCAGATTATCTGAGCATTATTAACAAAAAGAACATGGCTATTTCAAGGACCCAAAATTTCAAAGTCACAGATACAGAATTTTGTGATTTACCTGCCCAAGATATCATTGAAACGTGGATCTAATTCAATGTTGTACTTGTCAATATAGTCATACAAATCTTCGGTCCCCAGAACCTTGGCTATCCTCACCAACTAGTATTGAAGAAAGACAAAAACCGTACCACAAGCACATCATACAATCAAATCAACAACTAGTAATAACAAAAAGGTATCAAGATGCCCTACATATGAGTAATACCTTCTGATGTTTCAATTCAAATTTCTGTGCATAGCAAGTGTTCATATAAATCCCCTTTGCTAATTCAATATGGAAATGTTAGAAAAAGTTAACTATTTTGCCTTAAAATGTCCCCTTGATGTAATCCACCTACCCTCAACCACTCAAATGATGATGTCCCTTCTTTTGGGAAGTTGCCTTTAACTTCTCAGCATTCTCCTCATTGCCATCTTTGTTACATTTCACTTGCATCACTATAGTTAAATGCCTTTACTGTTACATTCCCCTACAGATGAACTAAAAGCTATTTGAGAAATAATCCTCTTTTTTTCCTATATTCCTCAGTTCAGCATCGTACATGATGTGTAACTGTTTACTTTTAGGTGGTTGTCTTTGACTCATTAAAAATGGCCACTGTGCCCCAAGGGAACAAGGCAAAATTACCTTCCTAGTATCATCCCAGGTTCCCTTGAATGAAATGGTTCCTTGATTTTTCTTTAAGGACCAAATATAATTAGTTCAGAAAGTACAAATACATTTCTATTGAAATATAGACATATCTAAAACTCAATTCCTATAGAGAAAATGACCACAGTAATATCATACATAAGCCAACACACTGGAGAAAATGTTTCCTTCTCTAATGAGAGATCATGCTAGGATATTCTATATATTGTTTTAAAAATCTGTGTAACAGTTTTAAGTTTTTTTTCTTTTTTGAAAAACAGGGTCTTGTGTAGCCCAGGCTGGCCTCAAACTCACTATGTAGTTGAGGATGACCTTGAACTTCTGATCTTCCTGTCACATGTGCCACCAAGCCTAATTTTACACAATGCTAGGGACTGAATAGGGGCCTTCATTAATGCTAGGCAAGCATACTACCAATCAAGCTACACGGCAAGCCCCAATTTTATTCTTTGAATTGTATATATTTTCATAGAGTATTCTATATGCATTTTACAATGAAACTAAGGACAACCGAAGCAGGCTGACTAAGTAGTGGAGCATTCTGATATCAGGAACAGGCCTGGTATATGTCGGGGTACAATGTACATTACACTTCAATTTTTTTTCTTTTTTTTTCTGCCTGTATCTCCTCAGAAGAACACAGCACTAGGAAGTACCTCTGGCATTCTGTGGAGAGCCTCTATCTTTGGTCACAGTGTTAAGAGCTTTGGGTTTGCAGCCCAACAAGCCCTCTTTGAAATGACCTATACTTCAGAAATTTTTAAGGCACAGTCTTACACTGTAGCTCAGGTCCACTGAGCTTTCTAATGAGTGGGCAGGTCTGTTTTCCACTCATGGAAAACCAAGTATTACCTGATCATAATTGTCGTGTCCATGGAAAAATGGCTCCTTCCGGAAGATCATACTTGCCAACATACAACCCAAGCTCCACATATCCAAACTATAATCGTACATCTGCACAAAGGAAACTCACTGTAATCACACATGAATGTCCAGCTTATCACTCACAAATAAAAACATCAGTATCTTCAAGTATTTCTTTCTCAGCCTTTTATGCCTTCTTTCACCCAGTTTGTTTTTTGGAGTACTAGGGATTGAACCTAGGGCCTTGTGAATGCTAGACAAATGCTTTACCCGTGGGCTGTATCCCTAGCCCTTATTTCAACCCAGTTGTTTTTTTCTCTTTAGCCCTTCAGAGCAATTTTTAAATAAACTGTACACACTACTTAGAACTGCATTTATCACTTTCATAAGAAAACCTCCACTGTTACAATGCCAAGAAATCCAAGGACTCGAGACGGGAGAGAGCCAGTCAGCCTAGGTCAGGAAATTTCACTAATGACACTGGGCTAACATAATGACTTATATCATCTGTTGGCTTCGGATCTCTTCTCTCCTAGGCAAAAAGATATGGAAAAGAAAGGAAAAGTACTTGGAAGTCGAAGGCGATGCAAGTGTGGGGAAAGCAAATTAGGGTTACCCTGACAATATGCAAGAATGTGTGGTTTGAAGAATAACAGTCTTTACTGGAACAGATACATCTTGATATATAAAAAAAATCTCAAATCTGCTAGTCTATGAAAACCTTTTAGTATGTGTCCTTTTTTTTGTTTGTTTTATGTGTATGAGTGTATTGCCTGCATGTATGTGAGTGCATCCATGTCATGCAATGCTGTGGAGGTCAGAAGAGGGCTTCAGATTCCCCTGGAACTGGAGTTAAGGATGGTTCATAGCTAATGTTTATTTTCATGTGTATGAATGTATTGCCTGCATGTATGTGAGTGCATCCATGTCATGCAATGCTGTGGAGGTCAGAAGAGGGCTTTGGATTCCCCTGGAACTGGAGTTAAGGAGGGTTCATAGCCGCCATGTGGGTGCTGGGAATCTTACCTGGGTCCTCTGCAAGAGCAGTCAGTGCTCTTAACCACTGAGCCATCTCTTTAGCCCCTTTTTTACACAAATATTTCAGAATTTTTTTGAAACTTTATTTATTTTTATTTTATTTTACGTGTATGAGTGTATTTTCTTCATACGTGTAAGTGCGTCTGCGTTATGCAATGTAGTGCTGGGAAACAATTCCAGGTCCCTTTGCAGAAGCAGGAAGTGCTCTTCTCCCCTGACCCATTTCTATAGCCCATCTGAAACTTTTTAAATGCATCCAATAATAACGCAGGAAGACCTGGCATAAAAGGTAGTTAAGAATGTCTAGGTATTTTTTTAATACTTGATTTAAAACTCTTAAAAGTTATTAAAACCAGGGGCTGAAGAGATGGCTCAGCGGTTAAGAACACTGGTTGTTCTTGCAGAAGACCCAGGTTTGAATCCCAGCACCCACATGGCAGCTAACAACTGTCCGTTACTCCATTTCCAGGGGATCCAACAGCGTCTTCTGTCCTCTGCGGGCATTGCACAACACGGGTGTACTTACCTACATGCAGGCATAACACTCATACACGTTAAAAAAAAAAAATTATTAAATCCGTTACTAAAGTTCTTTTTTTTCCTTTTTTGAGACAGGGTTTCACACTGTAGCCCAGGAGGCCTCAAACTTGTGGCAACCATTTTGCATCAGCCTTTCAAGTGCAAGAGTTATCAGGGTAAACTACCATGTAAGGCACATGTGTGCGTGTGCGTGTGTGTGTATGTGTTGTATTTGAGGTTAAATTTAGAAGTACAAGAGAATGTGCTCCCCCTCCCCTTTTTGAGACAGAGTCTCATGTAGCCTAGGCTGGCCTTGAACTTCTGATCCTACATTTCCTAAGTACTGGAAAAAGATGTACACCACATGCCTTCCAGGTCAGGAGAATGTTTTATTGGGTATCTCTTAGTTTTGCTTTAGGGAATTTCAGACCATAATGTTAACATTACCACAAAAAAGTTTATAGCAGACAGCTCATTTATCTGTTACATTTCACTTAAAAAAGGAGAGCTATGCCTAGCATGGTGGCGCTTGCCTTTAAACCCAGAACTTGGGAGGCAGAGGCAGGCAGATCTCTATGAGCTCAAGGTCAGCCCGTACTACACAGTGAGTTCCAGGCCAGCTGGGGCTACAGGGAGACCCTGTCTCAGAAAGAAAAACAAAACAAAAATGCATAAATGACTCACTCAAAAGCACAAACTGACTTTTTTTTTTTTTTTACAAATCATGTGCAAAATCAGCACAAGACCAGAACTGTACTTGTCCTTCTCTTCTCACCTGATAATCTACAAGTAGTTCAGGACCTTTGAAGTATCGGGAAGCAACTCGGACATTATATTCTTGGCCAGGATGGTAAAACTCAGCTAAACCCCAGTCTATTAGTCGAAGCTGGAAGGGAGAGAAAGGGAGAGCAAGTCATGTACCAATGCCATCTTCTAAATGCCTGTCCTGTCACTGGAGTCTAAAAAACATGTCATCCATGCTGCGCTCTACCAAAAACCTTCAACCATATGTATTGCCACATGCCTACAATCTCAGCTACTTCTGACACTGAGGAAGGAGATTACATCACAAGTTCAAGCATGCCTGGGCCAAACAGTGATGCCAAAGTCAGCTTGAGAAGCGTAAGTAGATCCTGTATCAAAATAAAAATTTAAAAAGGGACTAGATGAGAGGGGTAAAGTGCTTTCCTAACCTATGCAAGGCCTTGGGTTCAATCCCCAGTACTACAAAATACACACATAAAACTATAGTCTTTAGGATAAAAATAAAACTATTTAGCTTGACATATAGCTTCCTCCACAATCTAGCTTCGAAAGATATTCTCATCCTCCATTTTATGTTTTTGTAAATTTCTTTAAGGGCTCACTGAATTGATAGACTTGCACATGGATAAGGAAGTACCCTGCCACTAAGATACCTACCCAGTCCTTGTTTTTTCTTTAATGCTTTAAATTTTGAGGTAGGATCTCAATAAATTGACAAAGTTGGCCTTGAACTCACTCTGTAGCCCAGGATGACCTTGAATTTAGGATTTTCCTGCTTCAATCTTTCAAGTAGCTGCTTTTGGGTTTTGTGATTTTTTTTTTTTTGAAATAGGTCTCAGTATGCAGCCGAGACTGGCCTGGTCTTGTATTCAGGGTCATTCTGACATTAGGCAGTCTCCAGAGTGCCCATGGGAGCTTGTGTGTTTCTCAAAACTACTCATTTAGCCAAATGTGGTATACACCTTCATTCCAGGACTTGGAAGGCAGAGGCAGGTGGATCTTTGTGAGTTTGAGGCCAGTCTGGTCTACATGGTGAGTTCCAGGCCAGGTGGGGCTACAGGAAGAACCTGTCTCAAACAAACAAACAAAAAACTCCAAAATCCATGAAACTGAAATACTATAAAGCATCGTAGCCATTACAGCTTTCATGCAAAAGTGCTTATAGAAGTTAGAGCCCTCATGAGTTTTGTAAACAAAAACAATATTTCCTGAACATTTCATCTTGCTTTTAATACTCACATTGAACTTAATGACATTAGGGAAAATACATCTTTTGTATAGGTTTATTAAAAAAAGAGTCAGCACCCCTATGGAAAGCAGTGTGGAGAACTTTTTAAAAACTACAAATGAACATACCATTTGAGCCAGTTATACCACTCATTGGCATATACCCAAAGAACTCATCCTATTGCAGAGATACTTGTACATCCATGTTTGTTGCTGCTCTTTTCACAATAGCTAAGAGATGGAAGCAACCTAAGTGTCCCTCAATTGATGAGTGGTTAATGAAAATGTGGTTCATATGTATGATGGAGTTTTACTCAGCAGTAAAGAAAGATGAAATCATGAAATTTTCAGGTAAATGGATGGAACTA